TTTTTTTTTTTTTTTTTTTTTTTTTTTTTTTTTGTAGAACTGGGAGTTTAAGAGCTGTTGATATAGCAGGTGGGTTGTAATATTTTCTTACTTTGTGAAAGGAGGGAGCTTTGAGACTAATATTACTGAATTTAATATCATTTCTTCGAAAAGAGTAGAGATGATGATTTTTTTGAGGTAAGGTGGAAGTGTTCTTTGTTATTTTTTCTGTATTTTAAAGTACTATATGATCTTTTTTCTCATATTCTTGTAGTTTTTGAACTATTTATTTATTAATCTATTTGATATACTTGTCAGAGAAATTCCTTTAGGTTTTGGTCAGGTCTTAAGATGCAACGGTAGGGCTCGCTGGAGGGACGCGCATCATATTTCTGTTTGGGGAAGGATTGGGGGAAGAGCGAGAGGAAGAGGAAACTGTTGAGAAGCACCATATTCCATGGCATTGGCTGTTTATTTTTGTCACTTTAATGTTGTGATTTATTAGTTCAGCTGAGTGTAATGGAGCCCTTCCTTTTTCTACAGAATATAAATTAGGTTAAACCTAACTTCCTTTTTTTGCTTGCTATGTTGTTGCAGCGAAACTTCCTGCAATTCTCAGCAGTTTATCGAAATTCGGTGAGACTTGACTTGTGAGTGCGGAAGATCAGTTGTGACTTTAATAACACTTAATTTTCTTCAGAGTATTGGAAATGAGGCGACAGTTTAATAGAAGGAGGGGGAAGAGAAGATTTAATTGTGGGTCTGTTTTGCTTTTTAGCTTTTATAATATACAATTATGCTACTGTATATTCTCTGTTTGGTAGTTGTTTTTATATTAGGCGTTGACAGTTTTTTTAGCATTATAATTTTTTGATCGTTAGGTTTTTTTTGCTGGTGGTTAAGGCGTTAAAACTTGATGGGGTTTTCTCGTTGAGGTAGTGGATGCTTTTTGTGTACTAGGCTTCTGAAGGGTTTCACTGTAAAGCCGTGGAAATTATTGGTTTTGACACCAGTGGAAGTGAATTCAAGCAAGATAGGATATTTCGGACTTTTTTTGCTTAACAGTTTTTGGGTCTGTCTAAAGATAGTTTTAGTGTATTTTTCGTCTCTTGATGGCGATGAAAATTTTGAGTATTTTTAGTTTGGTTGTTTTTCATGTAGTGGATTCACTTTGTATTTTTTGCGACGTGTTCATTATTATTACTGCTTGAGCTTTGCGATTTTGTAGAACAGTTGCGGATAATTATTTTTACTCTGTTTGTTATTTTAAATGATGATTGCAGTCTGCAAGCATTTAAAGAAATGATTTGTGAATAGTGTTTGCTCTAAGACTCACAGAGTCGATATTATTATTTTGTTAAAGAAGATCATGCGTTCAAGGAGCTTTTTTTTTTAATTCCAGATGCTGCTGAAATATGGCGCGTGTATTCCTTATATTTGGTTAAGGAGTTCCGAAAATGTGACTGTAAGGGAAAGTTGAGTGTCATTAGTAGTTCTTGTAGTGCACTGATAAGTTATGGTCTGCTCAGCTAATGGGAACGTATTAAAAAGATGCTATGAAAGTTAGACATTTCAAGGCGGTAGAAAGGTCAGACAAAATTAAAATTGAGTTTTCACTGTCTTAAGGGGAAGGTTTATTCTCGTTGGTGGATTTCTTCATCAGCGACTTTTCTAGGGCAAAGTGTCACCTATATTTTGTTTGTGATCAGAATTTATGCCAACGTTGCCGTTTTGAGGAGCAATCAGTAATGCATGTGGACATACACACAGAGATACATTTAACGTATATACATACATGCATGACATAAAAATATGCACCAGTACGTACATTCAAACATTCGCTTGAAGTAGAGTCGACTGTTCTCTTGCGGATTCGGAGTTGTTTTTTGCGTTTGTAAGGAAAAATTGAAGCAGAGATAGAGAAAAAGGAACGAGAGAGA